ATGAACGAAATTAGACCAACCAGTGCTCCCTTTCCAAGAATGATCCAACGGTGGTTACCCTGTTCCAATCAATCCTATTTAATCAACGGTGATTAGTTGTTAAGGGGGGAGGTGATGTAACGAAGTAGCCCGTCACATGATATCAACACCAAACGGTGTCAATAGGGAGATTGTCTAGCATGATAGTGTCCTTCCAATTCTATCTGAGGTGGATAATGTTAAAGTAGTACTATCCCCTTTTAGGATACTATTCATGCGCTGCTCAAAGTTTGGCTGATACAAGACATGTAAACCATAGATTACCACCAATCGCTGCTAGACGCGCGCAATGAGTGGTGATCAGGTTGTCGTCATCTGGCCATGTAGATTAATACAGGCAGATTAATATATAATTTATATTGATAGCTTAACTACATCAAATTCAAATCTCTTTTTGCCCTTTACTCAACATAGCTGCTGAGTAGATTAGCTTCCTCTGCACGTACTAGTGTACGTGAATTTTCGTGGCTCCCCAAACAAAGGGTAACCGTTACACCATGTATAATATCAGACCTCGGTATGGCTGTGGTCTGTGCCGTGAAGGTTACAATTTAGCTTATCGAATTCCTTTAATAGAGGTTTCGTCCGAATGGCCAATTTTGTATGGTTGTGCTGCACCACTTTAAGCGCCTACAAAGACTTAAGCCTATAGATTGTTCGGAGTCATTCGTACGCAAACTTTTTAGGGGTGAATCTTGGTCTGACTTACCTGGTATGTGTCGTGTTGTTTACAAGCGATAAGGAGAAGCGAGTACTTGGTTAAAGCAGAAATTAGAGCTGTAATTATAATAATTGATGTCTGCAATAAACCACTGTTTATCCTCATCTAACTATGTCTGAATACAAATGTGCATATCAACTGTCTGCTCACCACTCATTGCGTGCGTCTGTCGTGGCGCGTCTTCGTTGGACGATATAATGGCCTATATCAACCAATTAGGAACTACTCGTAAGTGCTGGAGAATATTTATCCTTATGACAATATTCTGATAACATAACTCTTATAGTTATATTTTATTAACAATTTCTTATAAATTGTTATGTAACGATTCACCCCGTTACATCATAGCCCTTTCTAAAAAAAATCACTCTTATGAAATACCAAGATTAACTCTTTGGTGGCGAGGCAGCAGTTGCAGCGGATAAATTTCAGCTTTAAAATTATTACTAGACATTGTGCAAAATTTACTGCTAGAATGCAAACCGTTTCTTAGGTAAACCTAGGGAATCATCTGTATCTTGTGATTTTTCTTGTAAGCGGCAACTAGCCCGGTCATACCGACATGAAATTTGTTAATATCTTACCAAAATATAGAGATCAAAGAATAAGCTGTTGACTGGTCAGGGAATCACGGCTCGTGCTTCTGTCACTGTCGGGCGATCAGCCACTCTCATGAAATTATTGGTTATTAAATGGCCGACAGTGACTGTGGTGCCCGATACGATAGTTGTCTACACTTAACTACTTACACCCACAAAACCATTTTTAGACGCAAGCGCACACAGCCACTCTTTACAAACTGATCAATGAGTTCTTTACAAAAGTTTTGCAATTGTCTACGACATCAAGTGACGTCCGCCTGAAGGCACGTCAGAGTATCGGAAGGCTAAAATACCGGTCGAACCTCATTACAAAAAGTTCTCATTAAATGAGCTAAGATTACAGCTTACTGCTCCTTTATCAAGGTGTCACTAGTCACCTGAAAGTGTTTATTAACGCCATGTTCTTCGGCATCAGCATTTGTCGCAAAAGTATCGTTGCGCAATAGTTCGCGGTTAAATTTTGTGAATCTGCCATAACTTGCGAATACACATGTCGCTGTAGACGAGGACCCAATTAAAAAAGCCGATCACCTATGAATATAGATTAAGTCTCCTATAGATTATTTTTAGTGATCCTTATTAAGAGCAAGATCTATTAAACGCGACTGTCATTATATTTTTACTTCTCGTGGTATATAAAATTATTAACAGGTCGGGTTACATGATTAATGATACTTTGTTTTCTAAATGACAGATTCCGTCGTTTTATGACCAATAGTTTCTTCACTTTGTCTCATCTAAGCTCGCCATAGTGTTAATAAAAATGTGTGATGGCGACGTACGTTGCGCTTCACGCAAAATTTTAGCATAGTGATCACCGACGAAATCACCATGAGGGCGATCATGGGTCGTCGCTGATACAACGGCACAATACTACAATCTTAGAGCACGGTTTCATGTGTCGTGTTATGTATTAGTTAATCCTTGAGAAGTGACCAATGCAGACCCGGTTGTGTCTTTTGTGCGAGCTTATGCCATCAACATTTGCGAAACCATTATGTGCTCCTATACTCGTAAAGAAAATGCCCTTTGTGAAAGTTAAGCTGCGATTAAACGAGAATGGAAACGAGGAAAAGAGCAGTTTGTTGACCGATCGCTGTCACTCACACATACCAGTTTTAAAATTATCGTGGTCAGCGATTTTTACTGTAAGGTGACACTCTTTGTTTGGGGTGCCACGAAAATTCACGTACACTAGTACGTGCAGAGGAAGCTGATCTACTCAGCAGCTATGTTGAGTAAAGGGCAAAAAGAGAACTGAATTTGATGTAGTTAAGCTATCAATATAAATTATATATTAATCTGCCTGTATTAATCTACATGGCCGGATGACGACAACCTGATCACCACTCATTGCGCGCGTCTAGCAGCGATTGGTGGTAATCTATGGTTTACATGTCTTGTATCAGCCAAACTTTGAGCAGCGCATGAATAGTATCCTAAAAGGGGATAGTACTACTTTAACATTATCCACCTCAGATAGAATTGGAAGGACACTATCATGCTAGACAATCTCCCTATTGACACCGTTTGGTGTTGATATCATGTGACGGGCTACTTCGTTACATCACCTCCCCCCTTAACAACTAATCACCGTTGATTAAATAGGATTGATTGGAACAGGGTAACCACCGTTGGATCATTCTTGGAAAGGGAGCACTGGTTGGTCTAATTTCGTTCATTTGCTAATCCAACAAATGGTTTCGAAAACCAAGCTAGTTGCTACTGCAGCAGCAAGAAAGGCGGCTGCACGCATGCGTGCAGCCGGAGAGAGAATTTCTCACACCTCAGCAGCAGGTGATTCGCCACCTGTTGTTCTGAATCGTCTTCGTGGTGGTTACTACGTGCGACGGGCACATTCGCTACGTCTGCAGCGGGTACCGCGAATCGTGATCAAGATGAGTCTGAAATACAGCTTATCAATTCTGGCGAGTCGGATGATGTATCCAACTCGAAGGCGACACCTTACGCCTCCGGATCACCCGGGGCGGGCACTGCAAGAGCCAGGTTGACTGGCTCTGTTCGACGTGGCGACATCATGCTCGAGATCTTTGGATCGAGCGATTGTTTGGATGGATCCTCGCTCCACGCGAGTCCATCCAGTGATACGACGCGTAGTGATGGTGGTGAAGCACCTATACACCACCACGAGAGAAGTAACTCGAGGGATAGAGCTGCCACTGGTGTCAGAGCTCGTTCAGACACCAATCAAGAGGCAGGGGACAGAAATATCCTGCGCCACTCTCCTCAAGTGGAGTCTCCTTGGATGCAGTCATCCAGAGAGTTGGACCGGTTGGACGGCATGACTTCCGAACAAAACCGAAACCCGTTATTCGACTTTAGGAAGATCTGCTCTCCTAACTTCAGCACGAAAAATATCAGTGCTGAGGAAGAATTCTTCATCGATGCGTTTTTCAAGCATCGATGGTGCAATGGCAACCGTGGCCGAGATGGTAAGGCCTTGGTGCAGGATGCAACACCTTCGTCTATTTCATCGAGTGCATTGGCCGTGAGGCCTGTCTTGATAAACTCGATGCAGCTCGCATCAGGTTTGAAAATCGCAACTCAGTCGATGTACTCTACAAGTTGCATTGACTGTCAAGAGAGGCAGGATTGACCTGTCTCTCGTGGGGTGATTCGTGTCCAAATTATCTGGACAGATCGAATCGTGCTTCTAGGGAGGCCTACGTTTCTAATGTTCCCTACTGGAGGACGCGCATCTCTTCCGAGATGGCCAAAGTAATCGACACCTTGCAATCCCTGTACTCAAGTTCAGGGGGGTCGTTTTCCGACGGTCATTCTTCGAACACAGCGGTTGGGTCTCGTCTTATTGCTCGACGATACCAAGGACATCAACCATCAGGTGGGCATGAGATTTACAGCTTTCCCACGCCGGTAAGTAGTCACGCCAGCGGACGAGGTAACTCGTCCGGACGCCCTTCACGTTGCGGTGGTTCAAAATACGCTCCACCAGAAAGCGTTAACCACCTACAGAGTCCACCAAAGGATGTGGTGGAGGCGGGAACACCTGATCCGGCTCAAGGGTCGGATCAGCTTTATGTTCAAAAGCTGAACCGTTTAACGGAATAGTTACTAGATGACCTGGATCATGAACGAACTCGGCGTTATGAGTTTCATGACCTTGTAAAGGGTAATTACAGCTCCTTAGCGAACGATCGTTCGGACGATCGTGCCGCTTTTGCACTGGCACAACTCGAGAACGAATGTTCGACTCGTTGTCTTCGTGACGAGCTGGCTGCAGATCGTCGAGACACCGCTCAACTGCGCGAGAAGGTCGTCGACCAGACTGGCTCGTTGAAACGGGACCACTCGAAAGTGGTCTCGGCTCTTGAACGCGGATGTTTCTTCGCCTCTCAAAACGGGCTCGTACTGATAGTACGGGCGGAGACGTCCAACGATAAACGTAGGATGCGTACGCAGCTTACGGGCAGTTCAATCGTGTATGCGTTGCCCATTCGGCGCAACACACGAAATGGACCGATCAACTTGGGCAGTAATTTACTGCTGCCCACGTTTGTCACTGCGTGTTTCGGTAGGTTTCTTGTAGACAGTAAAACCAAATCTCCTTCATCAAATAAAAGAACATTTGCCCTTCTACGATTGTCTACGTTTCTATTTTATCTGTCCAGTGCATCTGCGATCGAGTCTTGAACGAAGCGGACAACCGCTTCGCGAGTCAGCAGAAATTCCTCTGATGATTCATCCTTGTCAACAGCAGTTCGCTTCGTGTGCACTGCTGGAAGAACGTTTTCTTTACCAGCGAGGGCGTCATCGTCCTCACTGTGGAAGTCTTTGGTGATGCTGAATATGCCAGCATCGTCGTCATCATCATCATCATCGATATCGTTCGCATCGACATCGGCATCCATCACGTCGACACCATTTTAGAAGGTTGATGAGCAAGAACGAGATCGTGTTTTATTCGAGTGGGTCGACCCCCTCGTTAAGATAGAGTCACACTCTAAGAAGGCGGGTAAACGTGAATGGCGTAGGCCATTCACGAAGAGCGTTGCATTCGAGGTTGACGCATGTACCGAGTTGTTAATGGCTAATTTCGCCATCGACAAGAATTCCCTTCATCTTGCAAACGAGTGGACGTTTCCTCGAAGTATCTCTTCGAGGACGCGGTTGACGCGTTCCGTTTGACCATCTGTTTCTGGATGGTCAGAAGTCGACATCGTCAAACGTGTTCTAAGCGAACAAAACACAGATTGCCAGAACTCCGCTGTGAAGAGGTAGTCCCTGTCAGACACGAGCTCACGGGGTTACCCGTGAAGTCGGAAGATAGTATCAATGAAGACACGAGCGCAGCCCTGAGCTTTAATTGACTCCGGTACAGAAACAATATTCACCACCTTGCTGAACCGTTCAACAAACGCAAGAAAACTAGTATTCTTTTTAGCTTCTTTGGAAAAACCAAAGATGAATACCATCGATAGGGATTGCCAGCACTTTGACGGAATCGGTAGAGGTTGCAAGGGTGCACGGTATAAAGTATTAGGCTTCACCCCTTGTCAAACTTCGCAAGCGCGAATGTATTTGCGCACAAACTTGTACTGGTGTGGCCAGTAGAAGTCACGATTACCGTGAGGTAAGTCTTTTCTCTACCGCGATGCCCACTTGTTGGGTTATCGTGACACTCATACATGATGCGCAATCGCATCATGAGCAGAAACGACGACACGAGGTGTGTCGCCGTGACTGTTGTATAGTACAGCAGTCCATCACGAACCGAACACCTTTCGGTTGAAGAGTGGTATTAAGATACCAAGCTTTCCAAAGCTTGACTACATAGACTAGAAACGCAATCCATCAATCACAGAAGAGACTCATCTTCTGCGTACGCCTTCCGCACGTCGTCGAGCATATTCGACGACGGAACACTCACTGTTAGTTTCGCTACCGTGGGATGATCCGGACTGTTAGGTTAAGCGGTCGGCTCGAAATTGGGCCAACGCGAAAGAGCATCAGCGACGGCATTAAGTCGACCTGGTTTATACTCGACGGAGAAGTTGTACTCCGCGAAGAAAGACACCCACTTCGCCATTCGTTGTGAGAGTTGTGGACTATTTACGGCCGAGCGTAACGACGCATGGTCGGTATAAACGATGAAGGGCCTATCGACTAAGAGATGTACCCGAAATTTAGCAAGTGCATATTACATGGCAAGTAGTTCCTTGTCATGCACTGAATAAATAAGCTCAGCTGCTTGCAGCTGACGCTATTGATAACAGACGATGCGCTCGACGCCGTCTGAGTCGTACTGCATTAACGCGCAGCCGATCGCAAAACCGCTGGCGTCACAGACCACATTGAATAGTCTGTCCTGGTCTGCAATTGCCAACACAGGCGATTGTAACAAGCTTTTCTTGATACCTTCTAAGGAGTGCTGACACTCAGCACTCCATGACCACCTCTCGTATTTCTTTAACAGACGAGAGATATTAGCAATCATCTCTACGTAGTTGCGCAAGTACTTGTGCAGGTAAGCCAAGGAACTTTCGAAGTCCCTTGACTTCAATTGGCACATGCCAGTCGCAATCGCCTTGATCGTTTCCGGATCAGGGCGTACGCCGTCTTTAGCCACGATGCAGCCAAGAAGTGGTAAATCGTTCGCTGCAAATATACACTTCTTGAGGTTCGCGAACAACTTATGTTCTCGCATTAGTGTAAGAACCTTCCGGAAGTTGATTCTGTGAACCTCCCTCCGCGTCCGTCTTTGCATCCTTAGCTTGGCTATGGACGAAGACGTCGTCGAAGTAACTCGGTACGAAATCGCGCACCGATCGCAACATGTTCGTAACACATCTGTCAAACGTTGCGGGGGCGTTATTTAGCCCATGTGGTATCACTAGCCACTACCAGAGCATACCACTGGGGGTTCTCACGACTGTGTAAGGGATATCCCGTTCACGCATGAGGATCTGATAGAATCCATCCATCAAATCCATGGATGAAAAGATGTTGCTCTAGCCATACCATCTATGCTGACTTCCTCACTTGGTATCGGCTTCTGATCCGGTACCGTTGCAGCGATCAATTTGTTGAACGCGCGAAATATACGCCACCCTCCTGTGGCATTTCGCACACAGAAGGTCGGAGAGCTGTGCGGGGATGTTGGTTCCCTCACATGACCAGCCGCTAATCGATCGGCAAAGAATTTGTCGATCGCTGTTACCTGTTCACGAGGCAGTGGCCATTACTTCATGACACAGTATTTCGAACCAGGTTTTAGTTCGATCTCATGCCGAGTGCCTTTATCCTTGGGCAGCTCGCATGGCAAGGATCCCGGGAAAGCATCCCTGAATTCGACTAAATCCCTATACAAAGAATTTGTCTTTAAAGACTCCCAAGATTGAGACGTGTATCGCTCAATTCGGGTCTTCCCATAGAGGACAATACCGTCCATAGATGAGCTACTGAGAACCCGTTCGTTCTCAGCAAACACTTGTGCTGACTGAATATCGGCGACGTACTCGTCCTCTGTGACGAGTACGCAGATCTGCTTGATCTTGTCACTACGCAGATCTTGCAGGAATCTTTTAGATTCTAGCGTTGGCAACTTTATTACCTCCGAAGCTGACCTCGGAGGTGTAACCAGATCAAGTGTGTGAGCACCTACACTTGATCCGTCATTCATCAAGACTTCACTGACTCGGTGATTTCCTGGGCGAAAGCATCCGCAGGTGGTTAAGGATCTACACCCTCAACATAACGATATCGAGAGTTATCACTCTCAGGAACGCTGGAACCTTCTTCCAATCCGCGTACTGACTGTGGGTGCACTACCATAGTCACGTCCTCTTCGATCAAATTTATGCGGTCAAATGTCTCTTTGAGCCCAGACTTCAAGATCTCCAACGACTCAAACACGTTTAAGTCGTAAAGCTTGAGACCTAAGGCCCAAGGCTTTGCTCGTCCAGTCAAATTTGACAGGGCGAAGGTGACTTGCACCTCGTCACCCTCGATGTGACGGGCCCTGATGGCATCGTCTAACTCGATGAACCATCTCAAAAGTGAGTCTTCATCGGTTCCCTTGTACCTTGCTATATTAATCTTCTAGGTCTCGGGTTGACGCGTGTGCGTCGGCCCACCCATCGAATGATGAGAGTCTTGCTGCTGTGGCAAGGCTATCTTCTGTCGTTCGACGGCAAGTTCCCCTTTTAGAAACTTGTTGATAGCAGCATGTTGCTGGTCTCTGCTTCGAGACGACAACATACCACTGATGGCGGGTTCGCCCATGGGCACACTCATGCGGCCGAATACCTCCCACTCTGAGTCACTCAGATGGGAGTAGCCTTCACGTGTGACGTGAAAGCTGTCTTCTTCTACGTCCAACATGTTCATGTTGGACGGACACTAAGTAGTCGTTGGACGGACTACAAAATTCTACCAGGGGTAACGGGGCACCCTTTGCTTGGGGTGCCACGAAACTTCACGTACACTAGTATGTGCAGAGGAAGCTAATCTACTCAGCAGCTATGTTGAGTAAAGGGCAAGAAGAGAACTGAATTTGATGTAGTTAAGCTATCAATGTAAATTCTATATTAATCTGCCTGTATTAATCTACATGGCCGGATGACGACAACCTGATCACCACTCATTGCGCGCTTCTAGCGACGATTGGTGGTAATATATGGTTTACATGTCTTGTATCAGCCAACCTTTGAGCAGTGCATGAATAGTATCCTAAAAGGGGATAGCACTACTTTAACATTATCCACCTCAGATAGAATTGGAAGGACACTATCATGCTAGACAATCTCCCTATTGACACCGTTTGGTGTCAATTTCATGTGACGTTTTACCCCGTTACATATACGGTAAGTGTTTGATCCACTGATTTGAAGTTGTTATTGTGCGCAACTCATATTCTACGAATCAAAAAGCGTGTTCTCTGACCAGTGTCGGGTGATCTACCTACGCAAAGTCTAAAGCGTATGAGTAGATTTAACATGGACAGTCCAAATCAAATACTCCCGTTGAAGGAGTAGATCACGAAATTCACCCACAATGTGATGCGAGACGGTCGCGAAGTAGAGACTATAAAATTTACCGGTCCGAGTCTCGCAACTGCGGTAGATCATGCAAACGTCTATGGTGTCGCAAAGCTGTCGTGGATGTACGCGGATTATATCATATGTCTAAGGTCATCGTCTAGTCGGGAGTGGTAGCCACCTTGTAGAAGACCGGGACCAATCAAAGTTCACCGAAAAACAATTGTGACATGATAGTGATGCTGCTTATAGATGTGTGCTGCGAAGCGCTTCATTATTAGGGACGCGATGAAACACCAAGCACGTAATCCGCACATCATCCACCTCGCCTCAAAAAATCTCACTTGGTTTGTCGTACCGAGATACAGCAACAGACCCATATTGCTCGGCTTGATTCGACTCCAGATCAATAACTAGCACCTTATTACGTAATTTCTCTTTAACAGAATACCTTTTTCGTCCACGAGCTGCTGTGTCCAGTCCGTTCTGTCCGTAGCTTTAACTCTCACTCTTCTACATTTTAGATCGCTTACCAATTCCTAGCAGAACCTACAGTCAATGATAAAAGTATACGTGCGCCTGGTTCCACATCCAAACATATCCCTACCTACTCTTCTCCAATTGTCTACCGCTCCCTAAAATTGCTGCTGTTGCCACGTCGCCAACGTTATCTTGGTGGATCTTCTCATCAACAATTTATACCTTCTGTGCCTTCACACGACGGGCTAAACTGTTTATGTTGACGTAATCGAGCAGCGATGATGCATCTTCACAAATTTTGTTGTTCTAGACCGAGGAGCGGCACTGATAATCCAAGGTTTTCTCCTACCTCACAACAAAAAGCACCATAATGGGCCATTAAAGACTCTAGCGAAGCGCTTAGATACGTAGCCAGAGTCGTTAGTGGTCAGTTCTACGTAAATGGGGAGAATATGGGCGGGAAGGGTACACGGATTAGTAGCATGGGTAGTTTAGCACCATGTTTGGGAGGTTTTTATAAAAGCGATAACAGCTATGTTGTTCTCTGATCACGAGTGTCGACTCACCAGGACTTTAAGTTTTCTATGAACATTAGGGTTTGGTATCATGCATTTCAGCTGCTAACCAGCAAGCTCCACACGTCTTCGGCCGGGGTCACACTAACACTAGTGGTCTGAGCTTATTACACTAGCGGTTTAGTTCTGGTCTTGAGCTTAACAAATCCATGTTTGTTCCACACTCTCTCACCTAATGTCAATAAAATGGCAACAGCAATGTATTTAAATTATTCTTAAAACATGAGTTTGAAATGGCCTTTTACAATGCATGCGTGAGGTGAATTTAAATGACATGGCAGCGACGCGATTGCTGTATTAGCAGTCTGTGTCGTTTCGGTATAACAGTGCAACGTTGTCGTGTGGTTATGTCTCTAAACTTTCTCGAGCGTGTGGAGGTGTCTGTCTGGTATGGTGACCCACCACACTGTTCAATGTTTGTGGCATGAGAACTACGCGCGGTGCCACAATAGGCAGGTGCTTAAAAAGTCACTTTAAATGGCCAGTACGTAAGACATCGCTATGGCTTCTTTTTGTCGAAACATTGTAGGAAATTGTGGATAAGGTACAGATTTTAGATAACAACATTGGAGAGGCTCAAACATTTAAGACAAAGACAGTCGAAGATACCAACTACTTTCTGTGTAGTTAAGAACGACTGTGATATTCATACAAAGCATGAAAATGAGGGGCGGCCACTTCGAAGGAAACCCTCCCATATAAGGGATCCGAAGAGGTCTGTAGTCTGCCTCGAGCAAGCTGCACTCGCAATCTCAGGTGTGGACGCAGTGGACCGACGGGTCGCGCAAGTGGACGATGGGAGCCATCACCGCAGATGGATGAGCTACTCGGGGGTATACTACGGCGGATTGGCGTTCCCCACGCCTTGCTGTCACTTTGGTGATCACAATCCTCGTCACGGGGTCGCGCAAGCGGCCGATAAGAGCCACCATCGCAGATGGATGATCTCATCGGGGGGATACTACGACGGGTTGGCGTTCCCCACGCCTGATGGTTACTTCGGTGGCTACACTCTACGTCGATGGGCCGCGCAAGCGGCACACGAGGCCGACCATCGTGGATGGACCGCCTTTTAAGGGATTTTAAAGCCAAGATGTTAGCCCCCGGATCCTCCAGCGCTAACATCTTGGCTCAGGCTGTTCCAGAGATCATGCACATAGCTAAAAATCTGGCGCAGGACTTTCAGACATTTTGCTTATGTTAACATGTAAATAGACAATCGCGAAACTCCTCCTTCGTACAAATTATGAAAATGTGCGAAGACGTTAAACTTTCTAATATATATGCCTCGTCTCCATTATCCGATCTTCATTCGAATCAAGACAGTGGTCCTGCTCCCCTACCTACCTCGAAACCTCAATACAATGAGACGTATTGGCTATGAGCGAGATGCAATCTAGTTATCAAAATTCTGTGGGCAGCTAGGTCGTCATGCGGCAAGCCAGTTCGTCGTGCTGCAAGTTCTTCTTCAAAATTCTTCAGCGCTCAAGTTCTCCCTACAGTTAACTTCCTACAAATATTGATATCTTGATGACACTGCATCGCAAGTCACCCACCACATCATAAATTGAGACCCTTCACAAAGTTCATTTCCGTATGTGCATTCTGTGCGCCGCCAGAATCAAAGAGTTCGCTTTTCAATCACCCGATCGCCTCACCCAAAGTCGTCTTCAATGGCCAAGCGTATTCTTATATAGGGCTTGCACTTGCCGTGTCTACTGGCAGTGGTGCTCCTTTGGATCACTCACCCAAAAGGCCATCCAAATTATCGATTACGAACCTAGGCTCGTCCGCTCAGTCGGAGACGGAAGACAAACGTATGCTACGAGTGGACATTGATTTTGGTTAGGCTAATCGTGGAGAAAGGGAAAATTTGGACGGGTGGGTGGTCGAAAAAGCGGTAGATGCTGTGAAGCAGGTGATTAGCTCGAAGCTTGCTAAAGACATCAAGGTAGAAGAGCCAAATTAGTCGCATCAAAGATTTCAAACTCACTCAGTTTGAGCTCCAGCAGTCCAGAGGAGACTTCTAAGCACAAGTCTCTCAATTCGAAAGCCAAGTCCGCTTTAACAAGAACATGGGAGGAAAGTTGGGTTTTGAATATGAATTGATGGAGTTGCCGCTAACCTCTTGTCGTTGATGTGAGGACAGAATACATAAAGAGCACCTGAATAGCTTACTTTAGGGTGCTTCGAATCTACAGGTTATAGTTCAACGTAGCCATTAAATAACATCACCTCTCAACGGTACTTTTCTCTTAATGTACTACTTTTTATTAACACGTATACTTCGTTTTGAATGTCGACAATGCAAAACGCTAAGTTTCGAACGGAATATGACAAGGACACGTTATAAAAAAAACAAAACTCAATCTTACAGCAGCAGCTAGGGTACCCTTGTCGAACATGTCTTATCGTTGTATCTTGTATTTTTTTCCGAAAATAAATATTCAGATTAAATGTTTTTTATGTTACTAAAGTGGATGTTTTTAAGGGGCCGTCTCCAGCAATGAGTAATAGTTATTCCGTGAATGCACCAATTAGAAATCAGTATGACTTGGACCCATACTTGCACGCATTACAGCAGTTTGAATGTCGTTATCGCAAGCCTGACGGGTGAAGCTGATTGTTACAGTGAGCGAGGCAAATGCCAAACTTTTAAAAGTCTGTCTGTTTTTGTAACTAATTCTAAGTGTAGCTTACACGTCGTACTAAGCCAATTTTAATGTTTCCCCTTGCTTTCTCAAATTAACATTAAAGCTGTCACTCTTTCTTTAGGTCTCTATCGCCTCAACAGGGGCATCTGTGCACGACTGCGTCGAGCTGTTTGCACAGCGATCGATAGTAATTAGCAGTACAATGCGGAATACTGTTGCAACGATGACCTTCATATTAAATTGTAAAGGCTGAAGACCAAGTGAAGTAATTGCACTACCCCTTCATTTTTCTTAGCCATGTCCACCTTCTTCAAGAACGCCCTCACCAAAATATAGAGACATCCGAAAAGGAACATTTTAAACCTGCACATTGCAAAGAATGCGTAAGATTTTATACCATTACAAAGGAGGAATGTGTAAAGCCTTCTGCGAAAAGTTTGGGCCTTTAAGACTGATTGCGTAGATGACAGTCCATGATGTTTACCCGTGCCTTGTATTTTTGGGCTTGGCTGTAACGGACGGACTACGGACAGTGAGGTAACCACGTGATGGTCGCAGCGCAACTATTCCCTTCTTACGCTAACTTGTAATTGATATAATTTTGGTTAGTTGTGTTTAATAGTGAGACCTTATTTTTAACA